TAGGATTGGCATTAAGGTAGTATGTATGTATGTGTGTGTGTGTGTGTGTGTGTTGTGGTTGTGTGTGTTTCTTAATATTATCCTTACAAGGAATCTCTGCGATCAGAAAAAATTATTTGTACCTACAAACATCTTAACACCATTACCCATGACTAATTCTCAATAGCTGACGCAGATGGAGGTAAATACTACAATTTCAGAGTAATTTGCATAAGAGGATGGGAGAGGGATTTACTATAAGAGAGAACCATAATTATGAGACTTAAGATTACTTAGGGTGGCTGAACATCTGCTCCTCCTCTACTCCAGAGAGAGGAGAGAGAAGAGAGAGAACTTCTGAAAATAAAACAATCCTCTCTGCGGGGAGAAGAAGGAAGGACGCAGACTGGTAGGGTTCTAACCTGCTGCCAATGTAGTGAATGGCTTCTGACGGTAAGTCTCAACCTTTGCTTCCAGGCATGTTTGGGTGTTAATCATATATATTTTTAGTTGGCCAATTAATTTCTTTCTATTTTTAGTAGAGACAGGGTCTCGCTCTTGCTCAGGCTGGTCTCAAACTCCTGACCTTGAGCAATCCGCCCACCTCAGCCTCCCAGAGTGCTAGAATTACGAGCCACCACACCTGGCCTAGAAAATATCTTCTAAACAATCATCTTGAGGCCCAAAAAAGAATCAGGAAATATGGAGGAAGACATGAATCTTTCAAGTCTGGTCAATAATTTGAACCTAATAAATAGGTTACCAATTGATTATGAGTCCCTGACCTATGGAGTCTACATTTTTAGGCTAGAAAACTATAAATCTGTGTACATAAAACTAAAATGTAGTAGCTAGAAAAATTGACATTCCAAAGCAATAACGAGAACATAAAAGCTTAGGGGATCTAATTGCCTCCTTAGGCACCAATTTTACTTCCCTAAATAGAACTAGTAGCCCATCTTCTTCAGCCTGCAATACTATTCCCAAGTTGACGAACATGTTATTTTTGATTTTTTATTTGAATAAGAAAAAGTACCCATAGCTTTTGAGAGTTTGAAATCTAAAAGAGAAATCTAGAAGAGTAGAAACAACAACAAACAATAGAAGACAGAATAAAAACTGTACCATTTGAATTATAATTTGCAATTTACAGAGTTCTTGCCATTTTACTTAATAAAGGCATACACTTAAGTGTTAAGTTTCATCCTATAGGCTTTATTGATGTAGGAGTTTGGAGGAAAAAAACATTATCATGAGTGATAACAGTTTCATAGACATTCAGGTCAGGTTTTTAAGAGGACCTTGAAAAATGACAAGAGGATGGTGTTGGGCTAGAATACTTACTGTTTCTGAAATGGCTGAACATTGGTGGGAACATCTTTTAAAACATTTATTTAGGCATCAAAGATTGCATGTCTGCCATTTGAAGGATCTTTGTTTCCACCACCAATATGCTCCATTGGTTGTGCAAAATATTTTCTGTGAAATGAGAGACATGATACACATGTTACCTTGACTATTAAGCTTGGATCTTAATAGAACATTAGAATCAACTTGGGAACATTTGAAAAACATGAGTAACTCCTCAGACCTACTGAAACCAAATCTCCAAAGGGGTGAAGAATTTGTATTTTTTTACAAGACCCAGTAATTCTGGTGGTTGGCAGGCTTGAGTATTACTACATTTGAAGTTGAAATATATATATATACTATTTTTCAAGAAAGTTTTCTTAACACTGGCAACAAGCAATGAAATACCAAACAGCAATTCTATTATAATAGGGTTTGCTGAGTCAGGTAGCAACACTCTCAGGATAAACCCACCCTGGGTCTCTCTTTGCAATCCTCCCTTCCCTTGCTGGGCCTGGGCCTCTTCATAGGCCTTCACGACTGTCCAAAACGAATAAAAATCACAGAATTTACTTGACAGAGACGACAGGGATTAAAGTGGTTGGAGCTGTGTTAGTGAGGGCCATCAGCAAAATGGTCTTTGGTTCTAGGAAGGAGGGTATTAAAATATGCATAAGAGAGAGACAAAAATTGAGTCTACTTCAATATTACAATTCCCTTACTTTAAAAAAAACAATATTTTTATTAATAAAAGAATTGCAAAATTGTGTGATCTTAAAGGAGTAATACAAGCACTTTTAACTCCTTTTAACTTAAGCCAAGTATTAGTATATAACTAGGTTGAATTCACAGCTCATTCAATATTTATGTTGAAACTTACAGTTGACTTTAACTCTATTGGCCCCCTTACCCCGGCTGCCAATTAGGACATTCATGACTTTAAATCTTGGCATTCTGTAATACATGAAATGTGAATATAGTACAATTTCAGCTATCCTAGAGGATGGAGTGAAGACCATTTGGTCAAAAAGAGGTTTCCAGAGGCACAGTAAAAATTACACCACTTAGGAAATGCTTAATATTGTCTATATAAGACCAGATGGTCCCAATTCTTACCAGGAAAATATCATAATATTTAGCTATTGATCCTACACTTTCTAGATAATTTATATTTATTCTGATTTTAGGAAAATCTGCAGAAAGTAAGCCTTAATATTATGTTTACAAGAAGAGAATAATATATATTCATATATTCATATTCATATATACACATTCATTTATTCACTTGGCAATTGCTAAGAGTCTTTGATGTGCCAGGAATTATATGCTGGAGATGCCAAGATTAAATAACACTATTAATTGCATAGTCTTGAAGTATAAACAAATGTAAATAAATATTGGCAACATACTGTGACAAGTGCTAGAATACAAAACATAGTGGTTTACCCAAAAGAAAGGGGTAACTAACACTTCCTTGGTGGTGTGGAAAGAATTAAGAGTAAATGAGACATTGAGACCTATTTGTAAGGATAAGTAAAAATTACTTGCTGGACCCAGGGAGGGGATAAATGGAAATTTTGGTATGATGAGTATTTCACCACCATCCTTTCTTACGCAGATGCTGGTGCTAGGAGATTTCTCTCATCAAACTCCATACAACCACTTACCTGTGGTTCCCAGGGGTCATAAAATGCCTGAGCCGTAGAAAAATGGGTGGCGTCTTCACAATGGGGCTACTTGGATGAGAGGCAGCAAAATCTTGGGCAATGGACAAATGCCTTTTCTGCTGCAGAATCTATGGATGATATGCAGGCAGGTGTGGATGCAGGACTCTCCCTTGACAGCTACCTGAGCAGCACTAGCATGGCTCCTCAACACAAGCGACGTGGTAGTCACCCAAATGCAACACAGCATCTGAAGATATCACTTTAGCAATTGCACAGTAAACTAGGGCTGAAGAAAAATGGTGATAATCATTCTCACAGTGCTAATTTGCTGGTCTCTTCCATGCTTCTTCTCTCCTTTCTTTCTAAGTGACATTCATTGAGTAGCCACATCACTCACCCCCAAATTAATGAACACCACTACTACCATCAAGATTGAGTAAACTGAGGAGCTTGCTACTCTCTTTCCAGTTTATTATTAAGCTTTATACCCTATGTTCTACTTCCTTCAGAGTCTTCCGTCTTGAAAATCAAGAGCCTTTTCTTCTTTCCATAAAAAGCTGACTCTTCCAAATTAAAAATATTGTTTTAAAAATTATAGTTTTTAAAGAAGGCCCCAAAAGCCTATTTTGCATGTCAAGATTGAAATATTGGCTGTTTCATTCTCTAAATGCTTGTTTTCAACAATTCTAATTCTCCTCAAAGCAATGAATGCCTCTGACCAATTTCCAACTGGGCAGAAATTAGGACAAAATTAATATTTTAAAATAATATCTCACTACATTTGGCAGTGTACAAAAACAGTAGCAAGAGAAACTAAGAAATCTGATTGGAGCAATTACATTTTCTGCTATATTTTGTAAGTTTCAAACAACCCTCTCAGATAATTATTGTTATCCCCCCACATTACAGACGTAGTTGTTAAGATTCAGCTTATGCTCATGGTAACAGTTAGTGTGTTGGATTCAAATCCAAGTCTTCTGACTTCAAGTCTAGTGCACCTTAAAATTAATCTATAAAAGGAAACCAGCCAGGAATAATATAGCCTCAACTTTCACCCTGGAAGTGTATAACTGCTTAGTTATAAAATTCTGATCTATCACAGGCCAAATAATCATAATGACTGTCGTTTATTAATCATTTACTATTTATTAGGCAATAGTCTATGTACTTCATATAAGTTAACTCTTGTTATTCATATAACAACCTTATGAAGTTGGTATTATTATTAATTCCATTTGACATTTAAGTCAACTGGGCCTTACAGAATTTATGTAACACTACAAAGACCATAGAGATGATAAGTATTTGAGCCTGAATATGAAGTCAGACCTGATTCCCAAGGCTGTGCTATTAATCATTATTTGACACTACCTTTACAGTTAAAGAGAAGAAAATTTTAATATATATCTTCAGAGAATATACAATACCAGAGAAACCATTTTCCTTCCCTAGTTCTAAGAACAGGGACATTGACCAGTGGAACAGAACAGAGAACCCAGAATAAAACCCACTCATATAGCCAACTAACCTTTGACAAAGCAGACAAAATACACTGGGGAAAAGAATCCTTATTCAATAAATGGTGCTGGGAAAACTGGATAGCCACATGTAGAAGACTGAAATGGAGCCCACACCTTTCACTTTTCACAAAAATCAACTCACGCTGGGTAACAGACTTGAACCTTAGGTGTGAAACTATTAGAATTCTAGAGGAAAATGTTGGAAATACCCTTCTAGACATTGGCCTAGGCAAAGAATTTGAAGAAGACCCCAAAGGCAATTACAACAGCAACACAAAATAAACAAATGGGACCTTATCAAATTAAAAACCTTCTGCACACCAAAGAAACTGTCAAGAGAGCAAATAGACAACCCACAGAATGGGAGAAAAATTTTGCCAACACACATCTGATAAAGGGCTGATAACTAGAATCTATTTAGAACTCAGGAAAATCAGCAAGAAAAAGCAAACAACCCTATCAAAAAATGGGCAAAGGACATGAACAGAAACTTCTCAAAAGAAGACAGAATAATGGCCAACAAATATATGAAAAAATGCTCAACATCTCTAATCATCAGGGAAATGCAAATCAAAACCACAATGAGATATCACTTAACTCCAGTGAGAATGGCCTTTATCAAATAGTCCCCAAACAACAAATGCTGGGTGGATGCGGAGAGAGAGGAACACTCCACACTGCTGGTGGACTGCAAACTAGTTCAACCTCTGTGGAAAGCAATATGGAGATACCTCAAAGAGGTACAAGTAGATCTACCATTTGATCCAGCAATTCCACTACTGGGCATCTACCCAAAAGATCAAAAGTCACTTTATGGAAAAGACACCTGCATTCAAATGTTTATAGAGGCACAATTTACAATTGCAAAGCTGTGGAAACAACCAAGTGTCCACCAATTCATGATGGATTAATAAAATGTGGTATATGTATACCATGGAGTACTACTCAGCTTTAAGAATCAATGGTGATATACCCTCTTGTATATTCCTGGATAGAGCTGGAACCATTCTACTAAGTGAAGTATCTCAAGAATGGAAAAACCAGCACCACATGTACTCACCAGCAAATTGGTATTAAGATCAACACTAAGTGGGCATTAGAAGTAACATTTATCGGTGTCAGGGTGGGGAGGAGGGAGGAGGGAATGGGTATATACAACCAAACGAGTAAGATGTGCAACGTTTGGGGGATGGACACCCTTGAAGCTCTTACTGAGGGGGGAGAGGGCAGGCAATATACGTAACCTTAACACTTGTACCCCATAATCAAAATAAAAAATAAATTTAAAAAAGAGTATTAGAAACAACTATTATGACACTGTTTACAGAAGGATTTACATGACTTAAAGCACCACCATTTGTACAGTTCTTCATCATGTTGCATTAGCTCTTATTAGAACCAGTTGCCTGTCTAAGTCATCCAAGATTATCATGTATGATGAAAGAAAACTAACTTTTTGAAAAATACTTGTGGGATCTTTGATATATAGCGTGTCACTGTCCCAATAGTCTGTTATATTTAACACAAAAACATCTTAGGCAATATTTTCAATATACTTTATTCTCTCTGTTTTTTTTTTAAATACTTTTTTTAGAAATTTTGGGTATATTTAGGAGTACAAGTGGTTTTTCATTACATGGATGAATTATATAGTGGAGATGGGTGGGTTTTTAGCATACCCATCACCTGAACAATGTACATTGCACTTGATAGGTAGTTTTCTTCCCCTATCCTCCTCCCTCCCACTTCTGAGTCTCCAGTGTCCATTATCCCACTCTGTATGTCCCTGTATAGCCATAGCTTAGCTCTCCTTATAAGTGACAACACGCGTACTTGGTTTCCATTTCTATGTACTTCACTTAAGATCATGGACTCCAGTTATCGTCTACATATCACAGAAGTATCTCATTTGGTACCTCACTATGCAAATTTCACCATTATAACTATGAGAAATAGTCAACCTTGCATACAATATCCATTCTCCTACTTATTTAGTAAATTTTCATATCTACTTCCTACAATGATCCAAGCACAGTGTTGCACTAGATGTCGGGACTGGATGTCATGGTCAGCCAAACAAATATAGCCCTACCCTCCAGAAACACAGAGCCTACGTGGAATAAAAACAGACAAATGTAAAATTACAACTGTGATAAGTGCGAGAGAGAGAAAGCGTGTACCTTACATGCTTGAGGGTCTATAAAGAAGGAATCGATGGAGACAGGAGCCTGAGAATGTTCCAAGGAAATAGAGGTTGAACAACAGAAGAGCTAAGTAATTGGGCGGCAGGAGCAAGACTGCGCGAGGAAAGCACATGGAAAGGCGCTAGTCGGGAAGGAGCATGAAGTATGAGCCACGCAAGACCCGGAACACAGGCCAGCCTGACTAGGTACTAGAACAAGAGAAAGAGAGTGGTTCTGGAGCAGCCTGAGAGAAAACAGGGTCAAACCAAATAGGACTATGTAGTGTTTCTTCTTGTGAATGATGAGAAGCAGATGAAGAGTTTGGGGTTTGGGGCATGGCATTATCAAATTTATATATATATTTTAAAACTGACGACAGTCTGTAGAGCGAGTGTATCATATTTGCAGATTTAGAAAGCACAGACACAGCCCATTGCAGCAACTCAGATAAGAATTGGTGAGAACTTCAACTAGAGAGTTGGAAGGAGAAACAAGGAGAGTTAAGTGTATGCGAGAGATGCTTAGGAGGCCTATGAGCAGGAATGCCAGTACTATATGGCAGACTCGATCCTTCCATTAAAATAATTAAAATGATAGATTTTTTAAAAATGGTAAATAGTCTTAAAATGTCAAAGAGTGGGCAAGATAGGCTAATCTCCATGCTAAAGAGAAAAGGGGACATATAGCATTATAGCCACTTTGACCCTGAAGACATTTGCTGAACCTGACAAATTTAAACTTCATTACTCAGACTCTCGCAGATTATAAACAGAGAAGAAAAAGCCTAGAGTTAAATCTGCCCTATCTTAACCCCATGCACTTCCCAGGATATAGGAAAATTTACTTTGACATCGAGAAGAGCTCAGGAGGGAGTGGGGGAACTACCTCTGAGATAACATAAAACAACTATTTTTTTTCTCATACAGATTTGCTAATATATATTATCTTGGTGGTGCAATACACTTCAAGCTATTAATTTAGCTTAAACAAGATTAAGTGGGTGCCAGATAGTTTATGCCTGAGACACCTGTAGAAGCAAAGGTAACTAAACTCTGCAAAGAACCACCTGTTGGAAAACAATCTTCTGTGAATATTTTCACATTTCTGCATTTCTGCATGGTGCAGGCTTTCTAGGCAAAGAGCACTGAAAAAATGGTTAAAGAATGATTTAACACCAAACATGCCCTGGAAGCAAAGGTTTGGAGACTTACCCCCTCAGAAGCCATTCACTTACATTGCAGCAAGGTTAAAACCTACAGTCTGCGTCTTCCTTCTTCTCCCCAGAGAGGATTGTTTATATTTCAGAAGGTTTTCTCTCTCTTTCTCTCTCTCTCTCTGGAGTAGAGGAGGAGCAGATGTGTCAGCCACCCTATATAATCTCTAAGTCTCATAATTATGGTGATTCTCTCTTATAGTAAATCCCTCTCCATCCCTCTTATGGCAAATTACTCTGAATTTGTAGGTATTTAACCCTCATTGCATCACCTATTGAGAATTAGGTCATGGGTAATTGGTGTTAAGATGTTCTGTGAGTAACAAATGATCTGTTTTCTGATCCAGAGATTCTTGTAAGGATATATTTAGAAACACACAAAACACACACACACACACACACACACACACACACACACATACATACATACTACCTTAATGCCAGTCCTAAGGTAATTTTTACAAATTTCTAAGAAAATAAGCAGTTTCCATATTTTTTTGTGAACTACACAAGAAAACTAGGTATCATAAACAAAAACTCAGAAAGAAAAAGTGTATCCACAAGATTTCAGTTATTTAAATTACAAACAGGTCGTAAAATACTAATGCCTAGTTGATTTTAAAAAATCAGAAACAAATTTGAAATTTTGTTTATAGAATAGAAAGTTTAAAAAAAAGACAAAGTAGATTTACAGAAAAAAAATTGAGCTTCTAAAAATTAAAAAATGCAGTAATTAAAATTTAAAACTGAATATATGGATTTTAGCATAGACTGGATTCAATTATAAAAAGAATTTGTGAATTGGATATAGCTCAAAAGAAATACTCCAGATGTAGCACAGGTTTTGAAGAGTTAGAAAAATGAAAAAAAGATAAGGGAACATAGAAAAGAGAGTGAGATTATCTAACACATACTAAATCAGAGACCCAGAAGTAATTTAAAAAAATGATTAAAAATATATTAGATATTATAATAGCTAAGAATTTTCTAGAAGTGATGAAAGATATAAAAATACAAATACAAGAATCTCAACAAATCCAAAGTAGGATAAAAAATTCATAGTGAAACTAATGCCAAAATAAAAGAGAAGATTGTAAAAGTAGTCATAGACAAAGATGAACTTTAAAGAAGCAATAATTTGACTGATAGCTTTCATTCCAACAGTATTAATAGAAGTAGGAAGGTGGTAGAATGTGCTGAGAAAAAAAAATACTATCACACTATAATTTCATATTCATCAAAATACCTTTCAAGAATGAGTGCAATAAAGGCAATTTTTGAAAGACAGCAACTGAGAGAGTTTACCACCAGTAGATCCACACTAAAGGCAGCTCTAAATGATGTACCTCAAACCAGAGGAAAGTGATTCTAGTTGAAAAGTCCAAGCTACACAAAAAATAAAGAGCAAATAAAGAGATAATGAGGATGTAAAGCTAGAAGACCATCAACTGGATAAAAGAATAATAATATCTCTGGAATTTAAAAAAGAACAGAATTAAGATAGATAAAGACAATAACACAAAAGTAGGGAGAGAAATAAATTGAGCCTAAGTTTCTAACGTCCTTTGGGACGTTTCAATAGAAATGTTTCAATAGAAATGTCCCAAAGGTAGTTAAAAGTATTGGCTAAATTTGGGCTTCAAATTTGGGCTTCAAATGCTTGTAGTAATTTACAAAGTAACTTTTAAAATAAGAAAAGAATGTGCAGCTTTCATACTAGTAGAGAGAAACGAATAAGTGATCAACAATACAAAAAAGTAGTATAGTATAAATACAAACATATGAGCAATTGCATTAAATTAAAATGAACTAAATGCACCTGTAAAAAGACAAAGATCTTCAGATTCAATTTAAAAAGAGAATGTAATTATGTGCTGATTATTAGAAACAAATGTAGCACATAATGATTAGACAACTTGAAAGTAAAAAGATGAAAAAAAATACCATGTTGACGTTAATTAAAAGGAAGCTACCATAGCTATATTAACATCATACAAAATATACTTTAAGGCTAAAAGAATTGCTTGGAAGAAAGAAGGTCATGTTATAAGGATAAAAAGTACAGTTCAAATATATGTACTTGTATACATTATTTTGGATCTACCTAAAAACATGACTTCAAACTACAGACATAAATTAATTGAATTATAAGGAGAAAAAGACAATACTACAGAGTAGGAGACTTCCACATTGCACTGTTTTCTCATAATTAATATTAAAAATCAGACAAAATGTTTACAGCCTAATTAAACATTGACATATATAGAACATCAGATCTATCAGTTGCAAAATATGCATTCTTTTCAAACACATATGAAGCATTTGCAAAATTGACCATATGGTAAGCCATAAAGAAAATTTAAATGTTCAAGGATTGAAACCATACATAGCATATCTTCTAACCTCAGAGCTCTTAAGCCAGAAACTAAATACAACAACAAAACAAACTAAAAGGAGAAATAACTTCTCACATTTAGTATTTAATAAACACACTTCTATATCATCTGTGGGTCAAAGAAAAAGTTCAATGAAAATTTAAACATTTTAACTAATATGATAACAAAAATTCTACATATTAAAACTTGAAGGGTACAGCTAAAGCTGTACTTTTAGGAAATTTTTAGTATTAGATATTTATATTATAAAATTGAAAGAATAAAAATTATTGAGTTAAGCATCCATCTAACATATAGAATCATTTTTAAATAAATGTAAGAAAAGTAAAATATAAAATTCAAAAATACTCCTATCTTTCTACAAAGAAAGTACAAGTAAGGAAATAGGATAGCAAATGAAGAAATTAATAGTATAGATAATACATATAGAGTGGAGAGGATCAACAAAAGTGAAAGTTAGATTCTTAAAAAACTAAACAAGAAAAACACAAACATCTGGTTAGAATAATCAAGAAAAAGCTTAGAAGGCACAAGTGAATGGAAAAACCAAAAGAATCTATTATATTAATAAGAGATTTAAGCAAATTTACTACATACAAAACAATGTATAAAACTCAATTGTATTTATATATTTCAGCAACAAACAAAAAAATTAGAAAAAGACACTATTTACCTTAGCACAAAAAAAATACTAGGTAGCTGGTTATAAATCTAACCGTGGATGCAAAAAACCTCTATAAGAAAATTAAAATATTTGTGAGAGATGTCAAAGTGCACATAAATAAATGGAGAGACAATTGTGATCATGAATTAGAAGATTCAACATGTAAAGATATCAGTTCCTCCAGTAGATCTTTTATTGACCTATAGATTTAATGTAATACTAATCAAAATGTGTGTGTGTGTGTGTGTGTATAACTCAAGTAGACACTAAAATACATACATGAATACCAAAAAAAATGCAAGATGCTCTTGATGAAGAAGTTCAAGGTAGAGATATATGCCCAAATATATAACAAAACTTGTTATATAAGTATTCTATTGAAGACACTGTGTATTGATGCACATGGCATAATAGACTGATGGAATAGTGCATAGACCAATGGGACTAAATAGAGAGACACCAGAAAAAGACACACACATATATGGATATTTAATATATAACAGAGATTATTGCATTTAAGTGTAAAATGAATAAGTTTTCAATAAATGATGATGAGAAAATTGGATCCGTACCTCATACTATATAGAAATATCACTTCGTCACTGGATTATGACCTGTATGTAAAAGACATAATTATAAATATTTTAGAAATAAGTACAGAGAAATATTGTTTAAAACTTGAAGTATTTTCATAAATTGTATCCACAAAGCACCAACCAAAAAAAAGATGTTTAAATTTACTTACACTAAAATTAAAAACCTCTATTTATCAAAAGATACCTCAAAACATGTAAAAAGATGAGTTGTCAATTGAGAGAAAATATTTACTATACATAAAGTTGATACCAGATAGAATTCAGTATATGGACAGAACATTACAATGGCAAAAAGGAAAAGAAAAGATGCTTACCACAATGAAAAAATAAGTAAATTAAAACTAGAATGAGATACCATTAATCTTCACAAATTTGAGAACTATTCAAAGTTCTAACAGCATCAAATGTTAATAAAGATAATAGAGCAACAGGAACTCTCATATTGCTTGTGGAAGAGTTCTTTAATGCCATCACTTTGGAAAACAGTTTGCATTAATAGTTACATAGTACAATTGGAATTGTGCACATTCCACAGTCGAGTAATTTGTCTCCTGGGTGCATACTCCAGAGCACACATTTCATGTTAGCACAAAGACACATATACCTAGACAGTCACAGATGCATTATTTATAGTAGCAAAAACTTAAAGCAACTCAAGTATTCGTCAGCTGGGTAAATAAATTGTGATATGTTAATATAGTAGATTACTAAACAAAATGGACAATGAAATAACTATACCATCTTGTTTAGATTGGGTTTGAATGGAATGTTAACTGATGCAGTTTCCTAGGGATATAAAAGAATGAATGGTATTTAAGTGTAGCAGGTATCTTCTGGACCACTGGGCCAGGGAAGGAAAATCAAGAGGGTGTGGGTAACATAATAAGTACAATAGGCTGAGCTCCAATTAGCACAATGTTTTAAATCCCAGTGTCCTTTCTTTCCTCCAACCTGTGTCCCTCAAACCCAGGGAATGTCAAAGGTTTATGAACTTTTTGATTATATCTACCAAGCCTGTTACCTGATGTTCTGCTAGCCCTTACGTTTGATGAAACCATTCTCCTTGTGTTGTTTTCCCTTGCACCTTGCACCCTTGCTGCTGCTGCTATCACCACAGTGGCAGTGATCTCAGCCTCACTGCTCTCCTGTGAGCAACCTCTCATTGCAGGCTTTCCTTGGGCTGAAAGGCAAAGAAAGTATGGCTATTCTTCCCCAAACCTCCTCCTTTACATTACTCTTTGGGGGCTGAGGAAGGAAATGGCAGGAAATGAAGGCTGCTCCTTTTAGGGTGGGTTTCTCTTTATTCCCCACATTTCTGGGGACAAACTCTCCTTATTACTGTCACCTTTCACAGATTTAGCTAATGAAACTTTTAAACATCAGGGCCCCCTTATTGGAACAAGTTTCTTCCAAAGTCCTGGCAGGGGCCCTGGCAATGTGTTCACATGGTCATATGGCTTTACGAAATTTGTAAAACTAAAATATTTTAACAGGAATGAGTTACGAACACTGTCTATTTCCACCTTAACTTCCCCTTCATAAACTTGAACTTGCGATGGGTGACGTTAGAATGACCCAAGAGCATTTTTAATATTTGGTTAAGGGAAAGTTGAACTAGGAATACATTTCTAATGGTTTTTAGTGGGATATGGATAAATATTTATCTCTATCTATCTATCTATCTAGGATACTCTACATAAGTATAGATAATTATATTAATATAATAGAGATATAGATAGTTATACAGGAAATACATATACAAAGATAGAGATAGAGATGGAGAAATAACCATATCCAAAAATGAGTACAAGACTATAAACCTTATCTGTTTATCTCATTTCTGGATATGGTTAAGTTATTGCTAGGTATCCATACATAGTAACAACCTAAAAGAATACTCTTACTGGTGTAGGAATAAAGGGAAAAACTTTCCCTTTGCCCTCTGAAGGTTCACTGAAAAATCAACTCACAAGAGGCAGATGAATAGGAGAAAAGGCATATAAAATTTATTTGATCACAGTTTTACATGACACAGGAGCCTTCAGAAGAAAAGACCCAAATATACAGGTGAAACTGTCTATTTTTATGCTTAGGTTTAACAAAGTATGGACAGCCATGTAGAAATATGATTGGAAAAAGAATCTAATGCTAATAGACTGGAGAACCTCAACAGGGTCTATCTAAATTCTTCTTGGCTTCTCTGTGTAGCATTCCTGCCTTCCGAGTGTGGGGCAGGACCTTCTCTGGAACAGGGGACTTTTGACCTACAATCAAACAAGGTAGGTCAGATAATTTCTTTATGGCAAGTTTTTACACAAAAGGTACCAGAAAAAGTAATATTTTTAGGTTCTATCGCTGGTGTGAGAGAAGAGGAGTTCTGGTTTCTATGACTAGCCTCAGAGAAGAATGGGAGACTGAGAGGGCAGGAGGGCAGGAGGAGCTCAGAGAAAACCTTGTTTCGAAGGCAGCCTCTGAGGCCTTCATTTTGGGGTATTGTTTTCTAAGTCCCAACATTAGCTGATGTGCTGACTTATGCAGAGAGAACAAAAATTAAGGGCTACAGTTTATATTATGATTTCAACACATATTATTGTATCGGGCACCAAAATTATATAAATAGCAGGAGAGAAGTAAGGCAGAAATATATGGAACTGGATGCTAGTCTGTGGAAAATTCTCCCAAAATGGTTCTTCCAAATTTCTAATTGTTAGAAATCTTCCTGAATTTGTCAACAATCCTAAAAGTTTGCATGACATTATTGGATAGGGTATTATAAAACTAAATCTTTTCTAAAAGTCTCAATAAAAATTTTTAAATTTTTGATCAAACATGCAGGAGACTAGAGGAAGGAATCATCCTCCTTACTATAGAAAATCACATCACACAATCATTAGCATTTGAAAAGGCAATCAAAAAGATGCAATAAAATATGATGAAAAATTGTAGAGATAAGACCGACAGTTAAAAATACTATTATTGTTCTGTATTTTTTATATTTGTTAGCTTTTTCAAATGGGTAATTTTTAAAATGTCTTTTCTCATCTGAATAAATAATTTGTTTTCATACCTAATTTTATATATTTTTAATTTTTCTCTTTTTTTTCCCTGAGATACCCACAAATTGCATAAGGTCCAGGCCCCATAAAACCTGGATCTGCCATCACTTCTGTTACATTTTTTAAGATAGGATGTGCAGACGTCAGCCCTCACTAGAGTCATCATTCTGGGAGGACATATCTAGGGCCTCTCTTTTTCAGCCCTCGCCAAGCAAACATGAAC